ACATTAATGTTGCAATAAGTTACATGCGATGATATGTGCTTGAGCTTGCAGAGTTTATATATAAAACAAACAAATATATCACAACACAATAACTTTTAACCGTTTCATATTTCACCCTCAAAATTCACATCACCCTATAACACCAAAACAATTCTCTTCTGACACTCTTGTTCCCATGAACCACGCTCGTGGGAAAGCCCGCCGCCCCATCACGCGTGTCGTTGGGAAGTTCCTTTGCCGTTGGGGGCTACGAAGTGCGTGCCCGTTTCTTTTCTTTTTTTCCTTTTTAAACCTTCGGGCATTGCAGCATTTACCCTCCGGCACCTCCCATTATCAGGGATATCCCGTGAGATTTTTCCATTTGCGCACAACACCATACTGGATCAAGATTGCGCAAACGAGATGCCGCGAACGCGAAATGCTGTAATTGGGCACCCCTTTGGGTGAGGAATAATGCGCCTGTTATCATCCATCTCGCAAAATTCACGTAGCAATGGGAGCAAGATTCACTTCTAAACGGTTACCCCCTCGCCGAAAATGAAGAGTGTAACCCAAGGGGGTGGGTTTAGAGGGCAGCGCGACCGTCTGGACGAGCCCCCAGGTGTGTAACGGACGCGTCTGCTCCAATAAATTCTCCCTCTTTTATGTTTTGACTTATCGGAAACAAATGGGCGCCAGAGACCCCCACTTTAAAATTTGAACTCGGACACGGCGCCTTCATCAAGTAGGGAAAAGAACGGGGATGGGGCGCGACAGAATATTGATAGAGAATTGTTTGGACCGTTTGAATGGAATTATTTTCTTTTTTTTTCTGCGTGTGTGCGTGGACCGTTGTGCGAAATGAATTTCCAATAATGCAGGAATGCTTCTCACTCTGTGCAAAGTTATAACTTGAATAAGGCAGCGCCTGACAGAGAGTGTGGGTACGTATACGCGGTCAAAAGCATACCGTCAGAGTCAGGAAAATTCCAATGATTTACTCGCACATTAAAATCCATATCAATGACGATCAGTGTGGGTCAATAAAAGGGGTATCCCATCCAATATTCTCCAATCATCCACCATTTGTTTGAATAACCAATAATAATAAAAAAACGAGCTCTGCATCAGCAGAAACCATAAGAAGAAATAACCATAAAAATAATATTGGTCACAAACTATTTTCGCAATGTTACAATACTTTTTTTTATTCATTTTCCCTCTTAACCCTGTACCAAATCTCTTCCTTGTTGTTTGTGTTGTTTTTCTGCATTATTAATGTTTGGAATTCGCATGCAGAAGCACACTGAGAATTCTTTGCAATATGGGGTGCGTCCGCTCACTTTATTTCACTTCCCCCTTCGCCCCAGCGCCATAGCGCAGACTCCTATTAAGTATTTTCCGCAACGCTGGTAAATTAACGTGGACAGTTCACGATTCCATCGACCCTAGGAAAAAATATACACAGTTGGGAGTAAATACCCACACATAATTCCGGAGAATGCTGCAGCGTCGTAGAAAGCGAATGGCAATTTCACCAGTCCCCATGCAAACACTAGAATTGCAATACCTTTTCTGTGACAACTTGTAGGTGGGAGAAAAAAGAATAGAGAAACGAAAAAAAAAAAGAATAAAGGCAACAAAAAACAAAACACTCTTAGAGCAAGAAATAATGGCAATATTTGTAAGAAAGAAAAAAAGAAGGAGAAACAAATATTTTTGACTTTGTCTGGGTAAACCCTGCATTCCCCACCCCGTTTTCACAAATACATCTAAAATAATTTTTCCGGTGGTCTTTACCAAATAAATAACAGAACTGACGAAGCGCAAGTGCTGAGAAGTCCTTTTAACCCGCCTTTCGTTCGAAACAGTGTGGGTTTGGTTGGGTGGATCCCCAAAAACCTACGTTTGCAGACTGTAAAAAGAAAAAAATAAATTTGCAAGACATTTATTGTCAGTATTAAAACTGTTTACAGAATAAATGCAAGACTTTACTACTCTTTTCACAAACTGTCAGGAAAAAAAAATAATGCATTTTATCAATTAAATTCATTTTCTGTTTTTTTTTTTTTTTACAGTCTCCCCATAATAAAAAAAAATGCTGAAAAGTCTTTACATTGACTCATCAAATAAAGATAAAAAAGAAAGTAAAAAAGAAATATATCTTCAGTATCTTTCCCAAAGTAAAAAGAATAATCTTAGCCTTACTTCTACCAAAAACAAGAAAATAGAAGAACAAACGTAACCCTGTATTTGACCTCCACGAATTGGAACCCCATGATATATAAAAAAAAAAAATTGTGTTTTACCAGGCAGTTATACTATCGAAAAAACATCCTAAGAACTGACGAAATGGAAGTGCTGAGAAGCCTTGTTAACCCGCCTCCCAGTCGTGGCGGAGAGGGTTGGGTTGGGTGGGCTTTTCAGAAACTTACGATTGACAGAACTGTAAAATTGGAAAAAAAATAAATATGAAAGACATTTATTGTCAGTATTAAAACTGTTTACAGAATAAATAATAAGATTCTACCATTATTTTCACAAGATATCAGGAAAAAAAAATAATGCATTTTATCAATTAAATTCATTTTCTACTTTTTGTTTTTTCTACCATGGTCTCCCCATAAAAAAAATTTTCTGAAAAGCCTCTACATTGATTGACCAAATAAACATAAAAATAAAAGTAAAAAAAAGAAATATATTTTCAGTATCTTTCCTCAAGGGAAATGAAAAAAAAAAGGAATATTTTCTTAAGAAAGTACCCACCCCAACGTACCTAGAGAGGTTTTCCCCAAGTCATTATGAAAAATAAGAAACAGAGAGGGTGCACTCACCCACACACCTTTTTTTCTTTTTTGGCACGTTCTACAGTGTCCATATTTTCCGTTCGCCCATACATCAATTAAAAGATAAAAACTAATCAAATGCATATTTTTTTCTTTACAGTTATATATTTATTTCATTTATTTTTCTTTCTCATTTACACTTCAAAAAAGAAGCAGCGGCAATACAGTGTGAAGGGTAATTGCGAAAAGCATTACCTTAATAAGGTGTGATCCTGCTGTATGCCACGCTGCATCCCCATTCGATTCATGTACAGTATCCATCTCGTAGAAAGAGACTCTGGCCAAGAGAGTTGAGTTTATATTGTAGGAGAAGAGGGCAACTCCAGAATAGTTATTGGGAACGTAAACACGACCCGTCAACGACTCCAGACCACCATCCTTGAAGACTTGAACGATGGTGTCATCCACAAATACTCGCAGCTGTACTCTTGTGCCATTTCCAACGAGAGGAGCTCGGCCGGTCCAGGTTTCGTGGAATCCAGTCGTGCCGGATTTGGTTCGGTCCAGAAGAAGAATGGGTTCCCACACACGACCTGTCACGACAGATTCATTGGCAGCAACAACGTCACCATAGGTGCTCATAAGTGTACACCTCCACAAACCCAGGTATTCTGTTGTATTTACCACTGTCCATGCGACACAACGACGATCGTAACTGCACGTTGCAGCACATAACTCTTGCTCTGTAAGCGCGAGCACGGCCAACACCCTTCCTTTTTGGTCAAACCCTGCACCCATATTTGCAGTGGGAGGCATCGTCACAGCGAATCGAGTGTATGTGTTGCTATCCTTGTAGCGTACGAGAACACCAAAGGATGGGACGTCGTCTGTGAACTCCTCAATTCCGTCGGTGAATTCCTCAGGTATTACAAAATCCACCACCATTTCATAGTGCAGCGCGGCACTGGCGTTATACACTTTTATCTCGTTCACCCCGATTTCAACATCACTCGTTGTATTAGAGAGACGCAACTTGGCGAGCTCCGGCATGGGGTAGGTTTTTAACTTTTGGGTAGTAGCATCGTACTCGACGTTACGAGGCATGTCTATTGCACCAGACCACCCACGAGTCTTCATTGCAGCCTCCGTGTCTTCTTCTGGGATCCAACCCCACAAAATAGTGCGATTGAGAATGGGATCATAATTCTGCTTGGATGCATACCATCTGCCGTAGTCGACGTATGTCCGGCCGCGATCAAGGTTCTCTTGGAAGATCGTTTTATTACCAGCATTCTTCGTATAGTAGCCATACACCCAATAGTCCTGACCACTGATCATTGTTGACACCTTCAAAAAGTATTCGTCTCCCAGTTTGAAAAAGTCTGGACATTCAAGCATATTATCCAATTCGAACAAAGTTTCCCAAAGGGCATGTGAGAATCGGAAGTCTGAACGAAAATTGGGATCACTGGTAGCGAAAACAACAACCTGCGCATCAGGCACACCCCATGAACCCATGTTAACACTGGCTGCAAAAGCTACCAGCCACTCTGATGCGTTATCAGGGTTCTCCCAGAAGTTCGTGGGGTCACGAAAGTGGTTCAGCCCAACAAGACCAGGCACATCCTTTTCTGTCAATACAGGATTTGTAGGAAGCTTTACAAACGAGTTGAGTGAACGTGGGCCACCAGATTGAACATCTTCCTTGGGTGGTAAAGCAATGCATTGTCGCTGCACGTCACCATCTGCAGCACACGTATACATCAGCACGGGTGTCCCATCAGCGCCATGCGTGATGGATCCACTGTACGCACCTCTGCGACCGTATTCATTATCGTTCTTTAGTGCAATGCCTTGATCCTGCCACTTCACATAATCCATCGAGGTGAAGTGGTACCAATTTATACTTCCCCACACCGAGTCGTACGGGTTGTACTGCATGTACAGGTGCATCTGTTTTGTGATGGGGTCACGGTAAGGCCCGTTGGGGTCGTTGATCCAATTGGCGGGCGGACGCACGTGGAAGCGCGGTTCATGCGACGCGGTTACCGCAATCGCTAGCAGCAGCAGCAGCACGCACCATGTAGATGATATAATGCGCATTGCTCCTTTCAAGGAACTTATTGTCTGATTTGCCGTTCTCTCAGCTAGTCTACCACAAAATGAAGAAGAAAAAAAGATCCAATCAAGCAGGGTGGAAAAGAAAAAGAAAATAACAACAACAACAACAACAACAACAA